CTTTAGCCACTTGCCCTCCAGAGAATTTACCCCCCTTAATGACCAGGCCTATTTTTGCTATTCTGCGCTGCACTATTTCAACTGATAATTGCGCAGTCATGCAATGATGTACCCAAACTAAATTTACCTCCTTTTTTTTTTCACACAAATAGAGCTTTCTTTCGGTGCTATTTGATCACCTTTTTATTTTTCGTGCTATAAACAACAAAAGACAGAAAGTTTTGAAGAAAAACTATATTTTTTACTTTCGGCTATAAAAAATATATAGTAAACTCAAAGTTAGGCCAAAATGTATTCTGCTACAAGTTTTTGGTAAAAAATTTCCAATAAGTGTATATTGATTGCTTTGTGTGAAAGTTATAGCTTCTACAAACTATGGTATAGATACCGCAATTTCCGCCATTTTTTGCAACACAGCGCTGCGCTAGTTTAACTGACAATTGCATGGTCATGCAATACAGTACATAAATTAAATTTATGTTCTTTCTTCACACAAATAGAGCTTTCTTTCAGTGGTATTTGATCACCTGCACTCCTTTTTTTTTTTTTTTTTTTTTTTTTTTTTTTTTGCGCTGTAAACAAAAAATATTTCAAAAAAAATATTTTGAAAAATAAACGATAATTTCTCAATTCAGTAATAAAATATATCCAAAAAAACTCAAATTTCATCATAAATATAGGCCTAAATGTATTCTGCTACATGTTATTGGTTAAAAAAATCCCAGTAAGTGTATATTTATTGCTTTGTGTGAAAGTTATAGCGTCTACAAACTATGGTATAGATAATGGAATTTACACTGCTTGTACTTTGACTGTTCATCACATTTCTTGAGGTGATAAAATACCAGGATAGTACAAACGCCCCCAAATTACCCCTTTTCAGAAAGTAGACACTCTAAGCTATCTGCTGAGATGCATATTGAGTCCATGGAAGATTCATTTTTTTTTTTTTACACAAGTTTTTGGAAAATGACAAACTTTTTTTTTTTACACAAAGTTGTCATTTAAATTGATATATTTCTTACACAAGCCATGGGTATATGTAGAATTACACCCAAAAATACATTCTGCTACTTCTACCAAGTATGGTGATACCACATGTGTGGAACTTTTTGGGAGCCTAGCCATATACAGGAGCCTGAAATCCAATGACCACTTTGAAAGCCTGAAGGTGCGTAACTTCCTCATTTCACTTCCTCAATACCTATCACAGTTTCGGAGGTCCTGAAATGTCAGGATAGCACCAAACCCCCCCAAATGACCCCTTTTTGGAAAGTAGACACCCCAAGGAATTTAAAAAGAGGCATGGTGAGTATTTTGCAGATCTCATTTTTTCTCACAAGGTTTTGAAATATACAAAAAGAAAAGAAAAAATATGTTTTTGTTTTCTTTCTTCGTTTTCAAAAAACTTGTGGCCACAAACGAGATCTGCAAAATACTTACCGTGCTTTTTATCAAATTCCTTGGAGTGTCTACTTTCCAAAAAGGGATAATTTGGGGTGGTTTTGTGCTATCTTGGCATTTCAGGGCCTCCGAAACTGTGATAGATAGTCAGGAAGTGTAACGAGGAAATAAAGCCCTTTTAAAAGCCTGAAGGTGCTTATTGGATTTTGGGGTCCTGTACTTGGCTAGACTGCCAAAAAGTCTCTCACATGTGGTACCTCCATACTCGGGAGAAGTAGCAGAATATATTTTGTGGAGTAATTCCACGTATACCCATGGTATGTGTGAGCAATAAATAATTACTAATAATAATAAACTTTTTGTCACTTTTTGTACAAAAACTTGTGGTAAAAAAATAAATTCTGCTATTGATTCAACATGCCTCTCAGCAAATAGTTTGGGGTGTCTACTTTCCAAAAAGGGGTCGTTTTGGGGGGTGGGGGCTTTCTATGCCCAGCATTAGAAGTTTATGCCATACATCACTCACTCTTCTAACCACCTGAAGATCAAGTCTTTTCTGACACTTTTTGTTCACATGAAAAAAAATCAGTATTTGTTTGCTAGGAAATTAATTTAAACCCCCAAACATTATATATGTTTTTAAAGCAGACACCCTAGTGAATAAAATGATGGGTGCTGCAACTTTTTATGTCACATAGTACTTGCGCAGCGATATTAAAAAATGCTAATTTTTTAAAAAAAAAAATAAAATTTTTTTACTTTTATTGCACAAAAACACAATATATTGGCCAGGTATTTGGTAAAATATAAAAGATGATGGTATGCCGAGTAAATGGATACCAAAGTTGACATGCTTTAAAACTGCGCATGCCGCGTGCAATGGCGACAAACGGTATACATTTTTTAATATACATAGGCAATGCTTTAAAAGCATTGCAAATGTATAGCTACCATTTTAGATTCACTAGTGCTAGAATTACTGCCCTTGATCTGACGTTCACAGGGATACCTCACATGCATGGCATAACCACTGTTTAGATACCGGCACAGGATCAACGCTCGTGCACGCTCATGGGGGTAAGGGTGCTTCTGTGTTTTTGTTTTTTTTTTTCTAATTGATTTTTTTTAAAATTATTTTTCACTGTCCTTTTTTTTTTTTTTTTTTTTTTTTTTTTTTACTCCCCATTTGGATTACTTTTAATGCTATCACAGGGAATGTAAATATTCCCTATAACTTCAATGGGCATTGTCATATATTCTTTAAGAAATCTGGATTCTATCAGACTCTAGATATCTCCTCTGCCCTTACATTATCTAATCTCACCAAGATCGGTGTGATCAGATGCTTTCCCAATTTACAAATGGCGCTGTTTATATCCTGCGAAACTGAAGTGATGAAATGCTCATAGCTTGCGATTTCTTAGACTATAGAGATGATTGGCACCATTCAATCTGACGCTATCTGGGAGGGGCATGAAAACCACAGGAACGCGAATCACGTATATATACTTGATTTTGCGCACCCGTGTCGCCGTGTTGCAGTATTTCTGCTATAGGGCGGTCAGGAAGCAGTTAAAGAAGCAGTTTGAGTTACGGCGCTACGTTACTTTAACTGACAATTGTGCGATCATGCACCGCCGCACTCAAATGAAATTTAAGTTCTTTTTTTCCGTACGAATTGAGGTTTCTTTCGGTGGTCTTTGATCACCTGTGCATTTTTTGAATTTTTTTGCACGATTAAAAAAAGACCAAAAATTTTGAGGAAAAAAACCAATATTTTGGACTTTTTGCTATAAAACGTGTCCAGTAAAAACATTTAAAAATCACATTTTGTAATCTATTTAGGCCAAAATGTATTCTGCGACGTCTTTGCTAAAGAAAAACAATCCAAATACGTGTAAATTAATTGGTTTACTTGAAAGTTTTTTTTATAGCGTTTACAAATGGCGGTATAGATACTGGAATTTTTTTTTATATATACTACTAATGGCAGCGATCAGCGACTTATGGTGGCGATCAGCGACTTATATTGGGACTGTGGCAGACATGCTGACACTGGGGGGGAAACTGACTTGGTGTCACTGACATCTCTAGTGACACCAATACAGTGATCAGTGCTAAAAAAAAAAGCACTGACACTGTACTGCTGGCACTGGGCAGGAAGGGGTTAACATTTGGGGGCGATCATAGGGTTAACTGTGTGATGGGAGTGTTTTACTAGGGGGCAGGGGGGGTGCTTCACTGTATAGAACACTGATCGGGATGGCTGTGCTAGCCAATCCTGAGCAGTGTGCCCAAACTGACAGGAAGGAGGGCTGCACTGTAAACAATGCAGCATTTCTCCCTGTAGGTGATCGCCGATAATCACTGGCCAGGACCCGGTGATTGACACCGAGGGCCGTGATCAGCGACGCGGATAGGGCGGGCGTGTGCCCCCTAATCGGAAATGCAGAATCACATTATATATACGTGATCCTGCGCACATGGGCCGCCCTTCAGTAGTAGATGTACCGTGGGCGGTCCCTAAGCGGTTAGTGTGGGAAGCTGACTGTGACAGCTTGCGACTTCACTGCTGGCTTCCTACTTTGTATGCGTGAGCCGTGCTGTACTTTGTAAATGGTCCCACAGCCTTCTGGGACCTGTGACATGTCCCAGAAAGCTGCTGGTGAACTGGGGGGGCAAAGTTCAAGGGTGGGAAGGAGTACAGAGGGGAAGTGAAGAAGTGGACCATGGAGCTGGAGAAACTCCCCCTCAATCCTTGGAACATCGAGGAAATATTTTGGTGAGTTGGGGTTAAATGGTCAATAGTGAGCAATCAAAATCTGTTGGAAGATATTAGGTTATTTATGGGTTCCAATCTTTTTAGAAACTTTTCATGGAGTCCACCATTATGATATACGTTTTTTTTAAATTCGGTACCAATTCACTTTGTTCTTGGCTTGGGCTATTGTTGGTTGTGCAGGCCATGCTTTAGCAAGTGTTTGCTTTGATAAAAGTGAGCAATTTTCATATTTTGTGCAGACTTCAGAATGTAAATTAAGGAGCGCCTCATATGGATTTGGCATATGCCCCTGCCTAGTACTGTGTATGTTGGTTGATAAATATTAATCCAAAAGCGTCTAATTTTCAGACAATCTCACTGTATATATTTAACCCTTTGAGGACCAAGGGACGTATTTGTCCCATGTTTTTAATTGCATGTATCATCTGAATAAGAACTTAAAACTCTTTTTTTTTTTTTTTTTTTTTGGTTTGAGTCAAAATATTAGTTCTTATCAACAAACAACAAATGGATCTAGCCTTTTGCCAATTATTTCATGAAATGACTTAGTTACAGCAACTGAAGTGAACGAACTTTAAAAACAAAAAAAATTGATTCTTTTGGCATTCCAAAATCTTACGGTCCTCAAAGGGTTAAGGGTACCTATTTCACTGCAGTCTCTAAAACCTAAGCTCGAGATATCAGTAGGGTGCTGTATACCAACGTAATAGTTGCTAATAGACAGTTGTGATTGTCATAACCTGATCTGCAGTATTTCAATATCGACTAGTTAAGTACCTAAAAATAATTTTTTCTGTTTTGTATCTTGCTTTAGGCGTGCTATGCTGCATCAGCCGTGGGATATCTTACAGGCAGGTGAGATTTATAAAAATATATATATTTTTAAACCAATGGTGACTATACACTAGATGAAAAATTGTTTGAAAATCAGTCATTTGGACAGTTCCTTTGTTTTTCGTCCAGTTAATGGCCACAAATAGGAAATTGACTTTGTTTGAACCTGAAAAATCAAAGTAAAAGCTTGATAAACTTCTGCCAAATGGACGATAAATTGAAAGGTTAATGTGGAGGAATTAAACCAAATGAAAGATCTTGTATTGTTCCTCAACTTGAGATCTACTCCAAAACTTGGAGGCTGTGGAACATATTCAAATATTCTGAGGAAGGGAAGTTTCTCTTTTGAGGTGATTTTCCACTAGCAGTCCCCCTGTTTGTCTCTCAAATGCACCCTCTTCCCTCAAATCCTACACCCCCCCCCCCCTTTTTTTTCCCTCTCTCTCTCTTTCTCTTCTGTGGTTACATGGTTTTTACTCGGCATTACCCACATTACTTCTTTCCCAAAGTCGGGTCTCCCAGGTCCATTATCTTCTTATTGTTTATGAAAATCTGATGTAAGAGGGAACTCTGCAGTACTGGAGTTATAATATGTCTTACCTTATCTATATTGTGACTGTTATGAGGTCATATGGTATGTCTAATGTCTGGACATATTTTGTATGTATCTAGCTGCACTCTTTGTTCTGGATGGAACCTGCTGTTGAAAAAATTTGAAAAAAAATAAACAGGTTAATGTGTTTCTCACCCATTAAAAATCAAACTGTTTGTACTCTGCATATGTGACAAAACAAACAAAAAACTGATTCATTTGTGTCCATTGAACAATTTATCATTCAAAATTCGGTCATTGCATGATGGCAGTACGATTTTTCAACTAATATATTGTTAGCATAACTTTTGATAAGGTGAAAATGTAAATGACGTATTAGTATTTCATATTTACCACTTTCTGCTTGCAGATGAAATATTCCATCAGGCTTGCACATATAATAAATATTTGTTGAATAAAGGTTTTTTCTTTTTCAGACCTGCCGTGTGCCTTGTGGTGTCTGGACCCGGTCTCATTAATACCCTCAGTGGGATGGCAAATTCTAATATGAACTGCTGGTAATCTGTTTTACAGTTCACGCATCTTCTAACATTGTTTAAAGAATATGTAAACCCTACATTTCATATTCCTGATATTCGCCTGCTGTACCATGTACTTGTATGAAAAAGTATCCTGCTCTCCTTGTATTGCTTCCTTTGTGTGAAATCCCTGGTGTACCTGCCAGTCCCTCTGCTTTCCTATCAAAAACTGACCACAAGCTAAGTAGTAGAACAGTTATTGGTTGTACTGGATGTGCTTGTGTATTTTTATTTTTTTTCAACCAGACTAACTATGTGCTATGTAACACAGAGTGGTCAGTCCTCTAATTATGTTAGAAACTCTGCCTGCTCTCCTCCAATGATCAATCTTGTCCTTGATGAATGATTTTATGAAGATGCTTCTGCATGTATTCAAAGATTTAAAATTAATTCTATGGTAGCTAACACTAAGGCTAAGTTCTCACAGGCACTCAATGGGTGACCATTTGTCAAACTCAACCAATAAATGTAAAGGTCACCATACCACAGTTGTGTTCCAAACACTGTTAGGATTATTATTATACAGGATTTATATAGCGCCAACAGTTTGCTCAGCGCTTTACAATATAAGCAACAATACAGTTCAGTACAAGAGGGTTAGGAGGCCCTGCTCTTGGAGCTTAGAATGTGGTAGTTCATTGTAAAATGCCATTGGGAATTTTAAAAAAAGGCCTTTATAAGGCTGCAATATAACTTCCTGAATGCCTGTAAACTGTCTCTAAACCATCTCTGTAAAAGCCATGCATTCCATGTCCTTTTCAGAGGCAATGTAGAGTCTGCCACTTGTTTGAGCCAAAAAGATGCCTGTAGCGTAGACATTAGTTGGTGGCTGGCTGTGAATGCATGACCTGGTCTTTAAACGTCCCTTTTTATAACTATAGATCTTGTACAAACATGCAACTTTTTTCCTTTTCAATAAACTTTTATTGAATAATTTTGATATTACAAAACACAAACTCAACCACTGTCTTATGTACGAACAGAAACATAACAATAGAAGTTAACAGTCAAAAGTGGTCGTGCCCAGACGAAACATAACTGTAGTAGATGACAATGTAAATGACATGTCAAAAGAACAAGAACCTCAACCAAATAGTATGAATAAATCAGTGTAGGAGACAAAGAAAGGACTATATGCCTGTAGCCTAGTGTCTGACAATGTCAAAGAGGGTTATAGCGCTTGAAATATACAAGTATATAGTCAAGTTGAGAAATACATGGAACACATCATAGATTATAAAAACATCCCTGTGGGAGAGCCATGTTTTAAGGAATCTGAAAGAATGCTAGACAGTTTTTCATTAACCAGGAAGACATCAAGGCGAAATGACCTTCCATGAAGGATGTAAACTGTTGTTTCCAGGCTTTTGCTATGGTTTGGTTAGCCGCCAATAGTACGTGGGTAGCCAACATGATTTGGTGTTTTGACAGGCCCGGGGGTTTTAGGTGTAGAAGAACACACCATAGGTCCCTTGGGAAGGGGCAAGTTAATAATGAATGGAGGAGTTTAAGGACCTTCGACCAAAACCGAGAGAGCATACGGCATGTCTACCGTATGTGTAGAACGTCTCCCGGAGTATTACAGCCTCAGAAACGGGTATTGGGGGCAGGTGGGTGAAGATGCACTAGACTGGACCAAGTACCACCTTGTAACTGTTTTGAAGGCAGATTCCAGTGTAAGAATATTGATAGAGCATGAGGTCAGGATTATCCATATCTGTGACCAACATCCCAGGTGTTTGCAAGCATGCAACTTGTTGTTCGACCAATGTGAATGTTCTTGCCTTTAGAGGAGGGAGGCTCAGCACTGTGGAGGCACTGACTGTGTCAGGAAAACAATAATGATTGCCTAGGAGAATCCATTCAGTGATCAAATAAAGTACAGCATGCTTGTCCTGGAAGAGTTGCCAAGTGTCATGGAGGGGCCTATAAACAGGCACATTCTCCAAACAACCATAAACAGCCAGGCTGGGCATCCTTCTCCAATGTCTGTAATCGATTTTAAATGCACAATCCTGTACAACTGAAGTAATATAAATTGGTGTATTCTCTATGACAACTTCCTACAAATGTCACTAAAAACTTGCGTGTAAATGAAGTAAGAGCAAAAAAGACCTCCTACCACCTCCTGTTATCTTGCTCTCTTACGTACTGGCCTATTTGGCTAGATTTCATTCCGTCCTCTGCTCTTCAGTAGATGTTAGAGGGGTAATAGGGTTCAGTGAGCATGCAGAATATAAGTTACTTTTTCCTTTTGAATGTTTTCATTGTTGTATTTCTTTTTGTTAGGCCTCTGATTGTCTTAGGTGGATCTTCTGATACTAACCAGGAAACAATGGGTGCATTTCAAGAGTTTCCCCAGGTACATAGTGTGTGCAAAATCTATGTTCATGCTACATGCTTATTAAACCAGATATAGATTTTGTGAAGTCAAATTTACTTCACTCTTATTTGAAGGGGATCTGTCAAAGAGTAAAATACTAGTCTCATACAGAAAGGCTGTCAGTACTGAGAAGCATCTTACAGCCACCAATCAGATTCAGACCTGCCTTGGAATTTTCAGTATCATTGATGCACAATATACAGCACATACTTCAGGATAAGTTTGTAGTGACCATTTTACATACTATCGGGATTCTGACTGCAGTGAATTGCAGAGAGCCCAGATTAAAATGTGTGTAAACCCTAACATTACAATTCTCTTATTTGCTATCTTTGTTAAATCTACCATTGAAAATGTTTTGTTATATCTGTTAGACCAGTGTTTCTCAAACTTTTTTCAGTCAAGGAACCCTTTAAAATTTTTCACAATCTCGAGTCACCTTTTAAAATTCTGTACAATCTTAAGGCACTCGTTACAAAATGTAAACAAACTAAACTAATCTAGAAATAAATAAAATGTGATGTAGTGCTGCTTGCAGAATATGAAATAAACCTCAATCCATCATGGTTGAACAAACCAAGTGAATGAACTTAATACAAAGTGCTCATAATGCTTAAATAAATGATAATGATTTAATATAGGTGTCATCAATTACTACACTCAAAGTGAACTGATCTCAAAGTGCTCCAAAAAAAAATTAGTGTAAAGTTTTTATATGATTCCAAATGTAACATAATTCAACACCACAATGAGAATCCGTGCTTAGCTTGATTCCATGCATTGATTGGTGCCATTTCTGTGCTCTCAGAACTCGCCTCCAACGCATGTAGAACTGCGTGTTTTACTGAGACAACTCCACAGCTGATCACTATCTCCTTTGGCCACTAGGGGCTATCCACTCCTCCTCCCATATGGTAGATGTTAAGGTGTCCTTGGGGTTCCACCGTTTCAATGAGTGACAGTTGCCCCTCAGTGTATCTTCCACTTAATGAGCCCTGGTTGCCGATCACTGCTCTCCCAGTCCAGTGAGTTTTTCACAAGCAGCACTACATCACATTTTATTTATTTCTATTTAAGTTACATTATGGGAACACAATTGATGGTAGCAGCAGCATGCACAGTAGCAGTCACTTTTAATATACAGTAGCACTTAGTAGGTGCAGACGTGTATTTCATTTAAACAAAACTGAGAGTTTTACAACCTTTTGCACACGTAGGACACCCAATGTTAGAGGTGATTTTATTCTTCCATAGTAAAAACACTTTTGCAAGCTGGTTCTGACTAGTATTCCATTGTTTCTCTTATTCCTCAGTTTCTCTCACTCAGCTAGTGTGTCCCCAATGCTCACAAAGAAGAGCAGGGTAGGGGTAAGCAAGCATGCTCTACAGGTACCTGATGTCCTTATGAACTGATGACATCGTTCGTTATTATGTTGCCGGCCACTAGAAAGTTGTAATGGTGCTTAATGAAAACCTGTGGTTTACGTGTAACTATAAGGCAGGCTTGATCCACCCGCTGGCTTGTGTACAATTATTGAGCAATTTTTAGGCATTTATTTTCAAGGCACCCCTGAAGAAATCTAAAGGCAACCCTGGGTGCCTGGGCACCCTGGTTGAAAAAGGCTGTGTTAGACAAAAACAGTTGATCCTTCCAGGAATCCAGTGAGCTCCTAACTTCATGTGCTTTTTGCCTATACTGCCCAGCTCATTTCCATGAACTACACTCCTCTTCCGCCTCCTGATTATAATGGAACTGAGGAGGAGGGGCAGTTCTGTTACTATTGTGAGACCTGTGGGACCCTGCATTGTTCATTGAGTATTTTTTTTTTTTTTTTTTGGATTTTGTGAGGTTTCTTGTATCTTGCTGTGAAAATTCAATAAATATATATTTTAAAAAAAATCCTATATTTGGCGTACTTGAGATCAGTTCACATACCTCAAACGGGAGACCGATAATGAATATTGCTCTTTTTAGGTCAAGCATATCATTCTGGAGTTTTATGGGATAAAAAAATTAATGCTCCCCCCCAAGCTGTTCTCTAGTAGATACATTACACTTCCTTACATAACTTTTAAGCGAAATACTTCAGGAATGTTTTGTTGCCTCTTTCTCTAGGATTAAATATAATAAATTGCAATATTTGCTGTATGTTAAATTCTCAAGTATAATTTTTTTCCCTGGAATTGGGTTTGTGTGCCCCTTAGTTGACTGAGGGCTGGTTTAGGTAGTCAAGGTAAGTACCAATCTTTTTTTTTTTTGTATTTTAGGTGGAAACCTGTCGACTGTACAGTAAATTCTCTGCCAGACCCAGCAGCTTGGAAGCAATACCCATTGTTATTGAGAAGGTAAATTCTCTGTTATGTTGTGGTCATGTAACGGTTGTGCTAAAATATGTGTGCATACTCTTGGAGAATTGGCAATCTACAATACCATTTTTAAAGAAGTAGTTAGCAGGTAAAACACATTTCTTTTATTACATATGGGATTCATATTCGACTGTAGGTCATATCAATAAGTGATTGAATAGTATGACTGGCATATTCAAGGCTTTGGATATCTTTTTATATCCTTTTCCATCTTTAGAAAGTTCCATCACCTTTTTACACAGGTCTTGACAGTTCTTTTCTGCTCCCCATGGCTCAGTGCGACCATGTGATCGCTAACAAACGCATTAACTATTTACAGTGCCTTGAAAAAGTATTCATACCCCTTGAAATTCTCCACATTTTGTCATGTTACAACCAAAAACGTAAATGTCTTTCATGTGATAGACCAACACAAAGTGGGACATAATTGTGGTGGAAAGAAAATTGATAAATAGTTTAACCTTTTTTACAAGTAAATATGTGAAAAGTGTGGCATACATTTGTATTCAGCACCCCTGAGTCAATACTTTGTAGAACCACCTTTCGCTGCAATTACAGCTGCAAGTCTTTTTGGGGATGTCTCTGCCAGCTTTGCACATCTAGAGTGACATTTTTGCTCATTCTTCTTTGCAAAATAGTTCAAGCTCTGACAGATTGGATGGAGAGCGTTTGTGGACAGCAGTTTTAAAGTCTTGCCACAAATTCTCAATTGGATTTAGGTCTGGACTTTGACTGGCCCATTCTAACACATATGCTTTGATCTAAACCATTCCCTTATAGCTCTGGCTGTATGTTTAGGGTTGTTATCCTGCTGAAAGGTGAACCTCCACCCCAGTCTGAATTCTCTAGCAGACTCTCACAGGTTTTCTTCTAAGATTGCCCTGTATTTGGCTCCATCCAACTAAACATCAACTCTGACCAGCTTTCCTGTCTCTGCTGAAGAAAAGCATCCCCACAACATGATGCTGCCACACCATGTTTCACAGTGGGGATGGTGTGTTCAGGGTGATATGCAGTGTTAGTTTTCCGCAAAACACATGTATTGTTTTGCATTCAAGCCAAAAATGTAAATGTTGGTCTTATCTGGCCAGAGCACCTTCTTCCACATGTTTGCTGTGTCCCCCACATGGCTTCTCGCAAACTGCAAACAGGACTTCTTATGATCTAATAAATCCTTTTGTGGTACACATAAATCCCCAAAATTGTGTTTACATAAATCCACACTCAATTCTGTCTTAAAAAAATAAAATAAACCCAAAAATATCAAAATTATATATAAAAATTATATATAAAAATTGTGTTCAATAAACCCAAAGTGTCCAAGTTCCAAAAATATTTTTTCCTTTCAATCCAATAAAGCAGAAATTGGTTCTAAGACTCCATGATCACCTCAAAGAAAAAAATAGAAAAAGGAAATTCATAGTGTATTACCCTTTTAAAATATGTATATATATACTTCACTCTGTGCACAACACAAAAAACACACTCAAAATTATTTTGTGCAAAATAAATCCAATATATATCACAATCCAAATAGGTGAATAAAATTAAATAAATTAAATAAAACCCAAATCGTGAAAAAACGTGATCACTCCAATCACAAGTGAATAGTGATACTAGGTACTAGTACCCTCTAAACTCCAGCCAAAAGTGATGCTAGGTACTTTTACCCTCTTGCAGTATTTTCAAGCATGAGCTGACATAGGAAATCTGTATCTCTCAATCCTACATTTTCATAGGTTTTCCTCCCAACTCCTCATAAAAGCATAAAAAGGCTCTTAGGCAGAATCCATAAAAATGGACAAAATTTAATAGTAACTCACATATAAAACAGGGATATCCAGCTTCACATATTCCTCTTTCAAGTTTCAGGTTGAAAAACACATGTTTCCAACCAACAAAATGGCCGCGCGCGACACTTCCGGTTAGCGTGCGTGCGAGGAATATGTGAAGCTGGATATCCCTGTTTTATATGTGAGCTACTATTAAATTTTGTCCATTTTTATGGATTCTGCCTAAGAGCCTTTTTATGCTTTTATGAGGAGTTGGGAGGAAAACCTATGAAAATGTAGGATTGAGAGATACGGATTTCCTATGTCAGCTCATGCTTGAAAATACTGCAAGAGGGTAAAAGTACCTAGCATCACTTTTGGCTGGAGTTTAGAGGGTACTAGTACCTAGTATCACTATTCACTTGTGATTGGAGTGATCACGTTTTTTCACGATTTGGGTTTTATTTAATTTATTTAATTTTATTCACCTATTTGGATTGTGATATATATTGGATTTATTTTGCACAAAATAATTTTGAGTGTGTTTTTTGTGTTGTGCACAGAGTGAAGTATATATATACATATTTTAAAAGGGTAATACACTATGAATTTCCTTTTTCTATTTTTTCTTTGAGGTGATCATGGAGTCTTAGAACCAATTTCTGCTTTATTGGATTGAAAGAAAAAATTTTTTTGGATCTTGGACACTTTGGGTTTATTGAACACAATTTTTATATATATTTTTGATATTTTTGGGTTTATTTTACTTTTTTAAGACAGAATTGAGTGTGGATTTATGTAAACACAATTTTGGGGATTTATGTGTACCACAAAAGGATTTATTAGATTGTATACTTTCTAGGGAGAAAGTTGTGATTTTGTGTGAAGGGTATAATATAGGAGCTTATTGATTGAGGACTTCTTATGGCTTTCCTTCAACAACGGCTTTCTTCTTGCCACTCTTCTATAATGGCCAGATTGGTGGAGAGCACGACTAATAGTTTCTCCCACCTGAGCTGTGGATCTCTGCAGCTCCTCCAGAGTTACCATGGGCCTCTTGGCTGCTTCTCTCTTGCCTTGCCTGTCAGTTAGGTGAATGGCCATGTCTTTGGTAGTTTTGCAGTTGTGCCATACTCTTTCCTTTTTTGGATGATGGATTGAATGGTGCTCCGTGAGAAGTTCAAAGCTTGGGATATTTTCTTATAACCCTGCTTTAAAATTTTCCACAACTTTATCTCTGACCTGTCTCGTGTGTTCCTTGACCTTCATGATGCTGTTTATTCATTTAATATTATCTAACAAACCTAAGTGCTTCACAGAACAGCTGTATTTATACTGAGATTAAATTACACACAGGTGGACTATATTACTAATTAGGTGACTTCTGAAGGCAATTGGTTCCACTAGATTTAGTTAAAATGTGAAACATGTCAAGGGGTATGAATGCTTTTTCATGGCACTGTATACACACACTAATTACAATTTTAAAAAGTCATAGATGTGGGAAATTAACCTTTACTTGCCATTTTAACCAGTGTGTCACCTCATATGTCTGTATCAAGGCCAAACTTTCTAGGTTATGCAAATATTTGATCAGAGCCATTTGGATGATTTCTGTTTATCATTATGATTTAAAAAAGCAGCCAAACAACTATGTGATAATAAAATAGCTTCATATGATCAATATCTTTAACCACTATCCTACAGGGCACTTATACCCCCTTCCTGCCCAGGCCAATTTCCAGCTTTCAGCGCTGTTGTACTTTGAATGACAATTGTGCGGTCATGCAACACTGTACCCATATGAAATTTTTAAAAATGTTTTGTGACAGAGCTTTATTTTGGTGGTATTTAATCACCTGGGTTTTTTATTTTGTTTCTTAAACCAAAAACCACAGAAAATTTTGAAAAAAAAAAAAAAGTTTTTTCTTAGTTTTTGTTATAAAATTTTGTAAATAAGTGATTTTTCTCCTTCACTGATGTGCGCTAATGAGGCTGTAGTGATGTGCACTATAGGTGGCACTGATGGGCACTGATGAGGAGGCACTGGTAGGTGTCACTGATGGGCATTAACAGGCATCACTGATAGGCACTGAAAGGCAGCACACATGTGGCACTGTTAGGTGGCATTGACTGGCACTGTTAGGTGGCACTGACTGGCACTGTTAGGCAGCACTGATATGCAGCACTGACGGGCATTGTTAGGCGGCACTGATTCACACTGATTCACACTGATAGGCGGCACTGACTGGCACTGATAGGTGGTACTGACTGGCACTGATAGGTGACACTGATAGGCAGCTCAGATGGGCACTATTATGTGGCATTGATGTGCACTGGTAGGCACTGAATTGTGGCATTGATGTGGCACTGATAGGCACTGGCAGGTGGCATGGACGAGCACTGACAGCTGACACTGATGGACAATGACAGGTGGCACTGCTGGGGCTACACAGATCATCAGGGCACACTGATGATCAGTGCCCTGATGATCAGTATACATGTCCCCTCCGAGGAATGCCGATTACCGGCTCTCCTCTCCTCTTGAGCTGTCAGCGTGACAGCTCGTGAGGAGAGAAATGCCGATAACCAGCATTTCCCTATTTACATGTGGTCAGCTGTGATTGGACACAGCTGATCACATGACCGAGCCGACATCTTCTGCTCTTTCCATTGATCGGTGATCCGCTGTGTCCGAGGGACACAGCGCTCCGCCGATCGCTGCGCTGGGCGCTACCGGAGCCGCGCATGCGCTGTTAGAATGAGAGGATGTCATATGACATCCTCCCAGAACGAGAGAACCGCCTTGCGCCTGTCATTGTACTATATGGTCGGCGAGAGGCGGTTAAATTAACATTTTTTGGCATGAGCGGTCAAATTTTCAATATTCATGACAAAATTTCACAAATTCTGCCAGAGTATTCAAACTTTTGAGCACAGCTATATATAATCAGTATTTTATTGTATTAGGCCTCATGTACACGGGCATAAAAAATGCATTTTAAAGCATTTTTTTTTGTTTAGGGATCTTTAATGCAGATGTACTGTTTTCAACTGGGACATGCACACAGGCACGTAAACGTGCTCTTTGTTCCGATCCAAAATCAAAAAATCTGCATCTGAGGGTATACATTTTACGCACTTATGAGTGTAAACATATGTACAGATGCAGAGAGTGCATTTTTATTGATTGGAAAAAAAAGCAGAACGATTTAAGACTAAACTTTTTCACGTTCTAAGAAATGTATCTAAAGGCAAGCATTTTACTGATCATTTATGCAAGAACTTTTTTGATCTGGAAAAACCTTCCCTCTGTGATCAGTAAAATTCTTTTGGTCGTGTGTATGTAGACTTCGTTAATATATGGGTCAGTTTGTTTACACTTTGAATTGGTACACTATTCAGTGTAATTTGTATGTCTTGCTGATTTGGGCTTCTCTATTCTACACAATCCTCTAAGGGCTTATTTATTTATTTTATTTTCAGGCTGTAAGAACAAGTATATATGGCCGCCCTGGTTCTTGCTATGTGGACATTCCTGGAGACTTTGTAAACAAGATGGTTGATGGGAGTGAAGTCAGGTAAGTCCATACCTCAGGAAGGTTGGGGGTGTTATTACTTAACCATTAGCTGCCTGGCCAATAGCCGTTTGGCGGCTGGCAAAATGCTTTAGCTTTCCGGGTGGACGCCATATGGCGTCCTCCCGGGCATTCGCGCTTTGCGCGCTTGCAGAGCCGTGCAGCGGCGCGATCTGTCACCGGCCGTGTACCTCGGACACGGCCAACGACAGATCTGAGTATCGACCCCCATTGCTGGTACCATGTGACCAATCACAGCAGGTCACATGACAGTTGTATACAATGGATGGCTTCATTCATGCCATCCATTGTATACTAGTGTCTAGCTGTGAATGGTCACAGCGATCACATGCAAATGTCATGTGATTAGCCATGGCCAAATCACAGCTAAGCACAAAAAAAGAAAATTAATGAATCGATGTCATTCAATTAAATGCTTACTTATAGCAAAGTAATTCTTTGCTATAAGCAAATTGTGTAAAAAAAAAAAAAAAATAATAATGATCACTTCCCCAAAGTAGTACAGTGTTACTATGGTAACATTATACTACTTTGGTCATAGTGAAATATGAAAAAAAAATCTTTAAAAAAAAGAAATGTAATAAAAAATTAACAATAATAAAAAAATGTTTTAAAAATTATATATATTTTTTTTTTTTCGTGCTGTTACCAGTCGGTGTCCCTGATGACCGCCATGCCAGTTGTATGAAGATGCTGTACTGCACTGGTGACAGTATGTAAAAAAAAAAGTAGTGAAAATAATTTTTTTCATTTTCCGAAAAATTATGAAAAAAAAATACAACTTCAAAAAACTCACCATGCCTCTTATGAAGTACGTCAGACTGTCTACTTTGGAAAAAGGAGTCATTTGGAGGATATCTGTTCTTTTCTGACATTCTTGGACCTCAAGAAATTAGATTGGCTGTCAGTACTTCAGGACTGATCAATTTTCAGATAGTTTGTGAGCTCTATAACTTTCCTACAAACTAAAAAATACATCCTAATTTGGGTTATTTTCACCAAAGACATGTAGCAGAATACATCTTGGCCTAAATTTATGAAGAACAATTATTTATTTGCAAACTTTTATAACAGAAACAAAGAAAAACGTGTTTTTTTTTTTTCACATTTTCTGGTCTTTTTTTGTTAATTTAGTAAAAAAATAAAAACCCCAGCGGTGATTAAATACCACCAAAAGAAAGCTCTAGTTGTGTGAAGAAAATTATAAAATTTTAGTTTGGGTACAGTGTTGTATGACCGCGCAATTGTCATTCAAAGTGTGAGAGCGCTGAAACCTGAAAAAATGGCCTGGGCAGGAAGGGGGTAAAAGTGCCCGGTATGGAAATGGTTAAAATAGGATTTCCTAATGTGCAATAGTTTTTGTTTATTGAGATGTCTGAATGCTAATTTGCAATCATGCTGATTACAGTTTAGAGCAGAGTCTTGTGGGTCATCTATGTGTCATCTATATATTTGTCTGTACCTACCAGTGCTGACAATTGAGTTTCTCCTTAGGCTGGCCATAGAGGAATCCGTGGTTTTTTGTTTTGTACAGTAGATTGACTGTTTGACCACAGTGGCCATACTTGGATCGAAATTTCACCGGTCCCTGCTGAACTGGCTGAATTTCAATCCATGTATGGCCAGCTAAAGTCTCTTTTCTCTGTTTTTGTATTAATCAGATAAACTTTTATTTGTTTAGTATTATTTCTAAAATACATATAACAACCCATGTTCCTCTAATATAGATCCTCTCTTGTCGCACTTATCTGTGCAGTATCCAAATACAGGCATTGCAGTGTCCAAGTACATCAGCTGAGTCAACAGTAGAGAACACTCATGGTCTATGACTTAAAGCAGAACTTTGCCCCACTTCATGTCCTCCCCCCCCCCCCCCCCTTCTTCCTTTTAACACATTTAATATCTGCCCCCACTTCCGGTCTGATTGCCTAGGTGATTCACCTGGAAGTTACCCCGAACCGCACCCAGCCCAACGCTTGCAACCTCATGGGACACATCACAGATCCCAGGAGGCTGCGGGACTATTTGCACAGCAAGTTCGTACATGCACAGTGGGAAAGCTGTCTGTGAAACTGAGACATAGCTGGCTTCCCAGATTATACATGTCAACACAGGGGACCCAAAGCAAAGAACCGGCCTTGGTGAGGATGGCACAGGATCTTTGGACTGGTATGTGTCCTTTTATTAAAAGTCATCAGCTACAGTATTTGTAGTTGCTGACTTTTATTTTTTTATTTTATTTTTTTTCAAACAGGCTGAAGATCCTCTAATAATCACAGTGCTTCCCTTACTGCTTAGAATCCATCGCTCGAGTGAGTAAATAAAAGATATTAGACCAACCCTTAGGGGAAAAAAAAAGTAAAAAAAGCCCTGTTATGTGCCATGCTGGCAAACGACACATACACCTCTGGTGTAGCATTCCACACTTTCATGTAGCTGAAAAAAATCTTTTTACTTTTTCTCAAGGTACACAAAATGTTTACCACGACCCATCAGCCTGGCTGACCCATTAGAAATACAGAAAGCAGTCGCTGAGCTAAAAAAAGCTCAAAACCCTCTGGTTATAATAGGAAAAGGTAAGCTATGTCTTCATATTAAGTACCAAATGCCACATTAAAAGTTGTACAGACAGTCATGTAACAGCAGGTAGCTAGTTGGGTGATTTTCAGATGTATTGTAACTGTACTGTCTCCCTTTTTTATTTTGTAAAACACTGTGCAAGCTGAGGGCACTATATAAATCCAGCATAATTCTACATCTGCAGAATGCCAATTACCCATTGATTTTAAATGCAAAATAACCTTGTATGTAACTAGTACATGGAGCAGTTGGATTGTCCAGTTGAAAGCTCATATGACAAGCACAATGATACATACATACTGTATACTTTCCATTCTTCTGCAGCTCCTGATATACGATTTTCAGCAAGTGGTTGTTTTGTGAAGGGTTAGAACCCTGTCATGTTGTTACAGATTACAGATTGTGTCCTAACTGGGGAGATTCTGTCCTCGCTGCTTTTCATGTTGCCAGTATAGGAAGTGAAAATAAATATTGCCAAAGGGGACAAAGAGTAATAGTAACTTCTCTCTCTTTTTTTTGGCTATTAACCTTTGTCAAGGCTTTCCTGTTGTGTGTACACGTATGTAGAAAGATTTACTTTCTGACCTAATGTCAGGTGTTAAAGCAGTGCAGACTAGAAAGAGATCCCAACACTTTAACTTATGCTGGGTGACCTTTGGTTACAGTAGTTTTCATATTTTTGTAGCTTTCACTATTTTCAACAAATACTGTATATGTCATATAATCACATATGGAGTTAAAGTTAGAAGCTGATTGACTACCATGCCCAGCTGCACCAGATTTTGCACTCCAGTTTTAGTAAATTAACCCCATGGTGTGTGTGGCTTTTTTTTTTAAGGTGCTGCATTTTCACGTGCAGAGAAGGTTATCCGGAGACTAGTAAATGAATATGGACTGCCATTTTTGCCAACGCCAATGGGTAAAGGTGTTGTACCAGATGATCATCCATTTAGTGTTGCTGCTGCTAGGTCCAGGTATGTTTACCAAGGAAAGTAAAGGGTTGATTCCCATGTATATTGCAAGAACAAATCAACATAAGTGGAACACAAAGCATATGGAAAAAACAGCCTATAATTAACCGCTTCCCAACCGCCCTATAGCAGATATACTGCTACAGGGCGGCACGGGTGTGCAAAATCACGTGTGTGTGTGTGTGTGTGTGTGTATATATACGTGATTTTGCATCTCCGGGTAGGAGGGCGTGCGCCCTACCCGCGCCGACATTGCAGGCACGGCTGTCAATCACCGAGTCCCGGCTGGTGATTACTCACCCTCACCCACACAGTGATTGCAGAGCATCTCGGACGGGGAGGAGAACTGTTTGTATACAAAACAGTTCTGTTTGTCAGCTCCTGCACACTGCTTTGGATGGTTGTGTACAGCACAGCCATTCAAAACAGTGTACTTACAGTGAAGCACATGGACACAGCACACAGTTAACCCTTTGATCGCCCTTCATGAGAACTCCTTCCTGCCCAGTGCGATTAGTACGATATCAGTTCTTTTTTTTTTTTTTCTTAAGCACTGATCACTGTATTGGTGTCACTGGGGATATCAGTGACACCAAGTCAGTTTCCCCCCAGTGTCAGAATGCCCGCCGCAGTCCCGCTATAAGTCGCTGATCACCGCCATTACTGTACTAGTAAAAAAAAAAAAAATTCCAGTATCTATACTGCCATTTGTAAACGCTATAACTTTCACGTAAACCAATCAATTTACACATATAGGGACTTTTTTTTTTTTTAGCAAAGACATGTAGCATAATACATTTTGGCATAAATGTATGACTAAATTTTGAATTTTTTTTACTGTAATATATAATTTTTTTTTTTCTCAAAATTGTCAGGTTTTTTTTTTTTTTTTTTTTTTTATATAGAGCAAAAAATAAAAACTGCACAGGCAATCAAATACCACTGAAAGAAAGCTCAATTCGTGGGGGGAAAAAAGGATGTAAATTTAATTTGAGTGCAGAGTTGCATGACCATGTAATTGCCAGTTAAAGTAATGAAAAAAATGGCCTGGTCAGGAAGGGGGTTACATTTTTTCATTTGTGCCAGTAAATATGACTCGACCAGGTGAATGAGTGGACACATTTAGATGTAAAATGTTTTATAAATGAGCATTCGTTAGCAAATAAGCAACAAATAATTGACTTATCAGTTATTTACCTCCTATAACTGTACCCTATAAAGTGGGTTAAAAGGCGTAATTGAGGGTGCAAAAAAATGGTTACAATCTACTTCCTGCTTTACTATTTGACTGTTTGTCTTTCCTTTTTAATGCTGCTATATGATAAACTTTTTTCATGTTGCTCACTATATATTTTTGACTGATTGTTAACTGATAATGGATTTTTCTTGCCTACAGTGCATTGCTGCATGCAGATCTTATACTGTTATTGGGTGCCAGGCTGAACTGGATGTTGCACTTTGGGCTTCCACCAAGGTTTCAGCCAGATGTGAAGATCATCCAGGTAAGATGAGGTTTGTTTGAGTATAAAAATAAAGCACAGGTTCTAATGTCATCTTGGTGTGATGTTTTATATAAATGTAAAGTTGTGAGACTTTTCACAAAATTCAGACATGCCCATAAAGGTTACTTCTTTTATTATGTTATAATAAATGTACAAATTATACAAATCAGCAGTTCTGACTTCACTCAAATTACACTTGCTGCTTTCTTCTTACCAAATAAAGAGGTTTTAGAGATCGGGACATGCAAAACTGTTAATGTACCATTTGTCTTTGAGACACCTATACTTGAGTTCCCAATTCTGCCCAACTGTTGCAGCCATTTCTAGGGGGTTGCACCACACCTCTCTTTTTTTTTATTTATTTTTTTTTATTCGTTTTTTTTTTTTTTATTCGTTTTTTTTTTTTTTATTCGTTTTTTTTTTTTAATGGCAAGCATATTAATATTACCTCCTCTGGACAATGGTTTTGCACAGAGCAGCCTCAATCCTCTTCTGGGGTCCTCTGCCAGCCCTCCTGACTCCTCCCCACTGTTGAGCAGGGCTGCTGTTAGAAACCACAGGGCCCCATACAGCCCACCTGACAAGGCTCCCCCAAAAAAACAGTTTACTATGCTTCAGTTATGAATGAACACAGTGAGTGATCGGTACCATTTGTGTTCATTGAGCAAAGGATGGGGTTGGTAAATGTGACCTGTTTACTGGACCCTTCCCCCACTCTCCATCCAGAAGAATCCTGTTGTGTGCATGCAACTGCCAGTAGGAAGGAGAGGAGGGAAGCTGGCAGCATTGTGGGGGCACACAGGGGACCTGGGCAGCAGGGGGAAATGTATGGTGCGCAGGGAGGGTGATGGGTGCGGCGGGGGGGACCATTACTAGAACCAATCCCTTGTATGGCTCTGTCTGCAGAAGCTGAAAGCCAGCGGTAGCGAGAGGAGAAGAAGCCAGCTTTCACTTGCTGCAGAGAGAGCCATGCGGGGGATCTGTTCCAGTAATTGCCCACCATTGTGCCGATCAACCTCCCTGCTCACATCCAATTCACCCAGCTGCCTAGGCACCCCTGCTGGCTTGGACCCCGTACAGGAGGACTGGTGGTGCCGCCTTAAACACGGTCCTTCTGCCAAGAACTCCCCCCTTCCCAGCAAGTGCTTGCTAAGGGGGGTACTCATGCGGGCTTGCTTTTGAGCCCAGCTGTCTGCATCCATAGACACAAACAACGGGGTCACCCCTGGCTCCCTCATCATAGGATTTGATTGACAGCAGCAGAAACCAATGGCGTTCACTGCTGTCAGTCTGCCCTGTGAGAAGGGAGAGAATACACTCTCTGTGCTCTGCGCTGGATCAAGATTGGCCAGTGACAGGTCAGTATGTAAGGGGGGGCTGGAGGGGATCCTCATTGCGAAAGGTATTTTACCTTAATGCAGAGAATGCATTAAGGTAACAAACCTTAAGGCTTTAGAACCACTTTAAGATATAATAAATCAGTGGGCTATTTAATTTCATTATTCAATTCCGTTCTAGAACAGAGAATGCATTACATTGGGTATGCTCCATAATGTGCATTAAGCTTTAAAACCACAACATTTTCATTTCTGTATGTCTAAATGTGCACATTTCAAAAAAGTATTTGCTGAAAGAGCTAATAAAGGTTTGTCTCATACACTGTAGTTGGTGCCATTATGATGGCAATACCTCAGTCTGACATATTTAAGATCCTGACCTCCTATCTCCCCATTAGTCACCCATAAAGCAAAAGGTTTTGTAGCCTAGTTTTGTCTGAGATCGTATTATTATAGCATTACGACCTAAATAATTTTAATAATGATTTTTAAACTGAAGTTATTCTCTTCTGCTCCTGACAGGTTGACATTTGCCCAGAGGAGCTTGGCAATAATGTTAAACCTGTAGCAAGTCTCGTGGGTGATATTAATGCAGTGACTCAGCAGGTAAGATGAGTCCGTTATGTCTACTGTCACTTGACATTGTACACGCTTTGAAAGCTTTTTGTGCTGCACCTATCACATTGCTACGTCTAGCTAGTCGGAAAACAATTTTTACACTGGTATTTGGGCATCTGTTCGTGTGTTTTTGTCCCTCTTCCAGTTCACATTGACTAAATCTGTAAATGATGGCAGCAGGATAGACGTCTCACAAGTCTTCACTAGCCTTATATCTTTAATGTGCAGTGGTTTATTCTTGATATATGATTTCCCAGACTCACCCAGCTGCTGCAAACTTTACTAAGAGTTTGCTATCTTTATTTATAAAAAATTACAGAGAATGCAGCAGTAGGAGCGAATCTACATGGTGGTGGAAATACTGAGCCAGAAACTCCAATAGACTAAAGATCTCTGTTTTTTGGCGGGCTGACATCAAATGTACAACATATAGTAATAAACTATTAAATACTGTAAAATAGACTGAATTTTTTTTTTCTGTTAAGCTTCTAGATGAGTTGCTTAAAAGCACCTGGAAGTACTCATCCACTACAGGATGGTGGAAAGACCTTAAGACGAAGATAAAAGCCAATGAAGAAAACTCAAAGGTGAATAGACAGAAAGTCTTATGATAAAGTGAACTTGTCCATAAGAATTTTTACAAGGAATTTAATTGTTTCTGATAAACAAGGAAGTTACATTCATTATATTGTAGTGTAAAACAGGTTGAATCTGCATAGTGTATAGGCATATCACATATAAAAATTGATGTACAAAAGCAAACCCATATCCAAGCAGTCTGACAAAACAATCTTGGTAATGTAATTCTCTGCAATGGACACTATTGATATTGATCTACCTTTTTAAATTAGGCATGTACACACAATTTGATTTAAATAACCGGTATTATTTATTAAAGGATAAGTTCACCTTTTGACCAAAAATTAAAAATGCACATTTTTTTGTAGATAAAAAAATTGTGCATTTTTATTATTTTTGGTTGTGGGAGCCTGTAAAGCATTGCACCAGAGATCAGCAGATCGCTAGTGCCATGCAGGTCTCCTGCAGACCTGTCAGTACATCTGCTTGCCCATGTGGGATGTCTGGGCAAGCTAATATACTGACAGGAAGAATCCATGAACTACCATGGCGTTCCACAGCGCCGTGATAGTTCATTGAGAACTACAAGCTGACAGCCTTAGCGGCTGTTGGGACTTGTAGTTCATTCAGTCACAGAACGCTGTGAATGTATATTGTGACCGTATGGGCCTCACGCCGCCATGCTATTTTTAAAAAGTGACAGTATGGGGAACTTCACCCCACACTTCTGTCACAGGGAGGGTGGGCAGTGGCTGCAGCTTTGGGAACATGTTCCACCCTTTAAAAAAAAAAAAAAAAAAAAAGGTGGAACCTGCAATATGTCCCAAAACTGAACTTACCCTTTTAACTGTTTCGGTTTCTCCCAACTCCTCCCAGAAATCACAAAACTTCTGTTTTCTGGTTAAAGCAAATGCTTAAAGGGAAGTTATAATGTTTTTTTATACATGCATTTTGTTTCTTTATATCAAATAACCATAAAATAAATGTAGTGCTTTAAACTGACATGAATAAAAAAAAAAAAAAAAAAATTACATTTGCTATATACATACATAAAACGCCCTCCTCTTTGCCACTGAAGATGGGTCAGCTGAAACTGAGGTTTAGTAAGAGAAAAATGATGAAATACAATGTGAACAATAGTCAACAAGTGAACATAAATAACATCAGTTGAAATCAGGCCTCAAACACATGTATTGATTATGGGTTTATACTTCCAGGGTGTACCAAAATGGCGGTGACCATCACCACGCTCCGCTAACAGTCCCACGCGTTACGTCACTGTTCCGTGACTTCAGAAGGGTGCCATGGTGTTTTTTGTGCACTTTTATTTAGGACGTGTTAGTTCTATTATGTTGAATACATTATTTATGTTCACTTGTTGACTATTATTCTCGTTGTATTTCATCACAATCTATTTTGCACTTAGTTTGGTCTGGGTTCAGGCCTTTACATTTTTATGTATTATTTATGTTCACTTGTTGAATATAATAATTATTATTATAATTATTACTCACGTTGTCTTTGTCATAGTTCATATTGCACCTAATTAGGTCTGGATTAAGGCCTTTATACTTATCACCTCTGTTTTGGGGTTATTTTTTCTGTCTCCCCACTCTTCGTATTATTGTGTCCTTAGTACTATTGATATTAGCGCAACACCATTTTATTTGTTTTGTTTCCTTGTGCTAGTGGTGTCTAGGTGTTTGCAGCTTTTTTCAATAGTCCTATCTATACCTTTAGCAGCGCAGAAGGTTTTTTTCTATTCTCAACAACGATAAGCTGCCTATTTTGCTGCACTGGCCTCATACTACCTCTAGAACGTGTAAATTCAAACACAAAATCACCAGTCAATAACAAAAGACTGTTCATACTGTCTCCAGCACAGAAGCAGGTAAATGCTTTATATTGAGAGGCCAATAATTTCTGTGTTTTATCCCTTTGCTGTTTTTACCATGTTTTCTTTAGTTTCAGTATGTTGAATTAAAAGCATTCTTGGTTTGTGCAGGTTTTGGCATCACAGACAACCCTTCCAATGAATTACTACACAGTTTTTCACCATGTGAAGCAGGTTTTGCCCAGCGATTGCATTATTGTAAGTGAAGGAGCGAATACAATGGACATTGGCCGTACTGTGCTCCAAAACTTTCATCCACGTCACAGGTAAGAATTGCAGACTACCTGCACACAATATTATATTTTTAAGCTTTTGGTTACCTGTGTGTCCACAGTTCTGAAAGGGGTAGAATGGGCAGTAATCAGGCTGTGAGAATGTTTACAGCAGGATGTAATATAGGAAAAGCAGCAGATGGCTACATAGATATCAATTTTGTCCTGCAGCTCTAGGTCCTGGTTACATATCCTTTTAAGTAATACTGGCTGCATGTTTGCATTCTCCCAGCATTTATGTGCTCCCAGTTACCTCTCCAAACCCAATATATATTGGTTAATTTTTCATCAACCTATTGTGTATGAGTATAGCAAAGAGAGATTGTGGGCTTCTTTTGATGCAGGGACGGTTGTTATTTGCCCCCTATATTCTGTGAATTATTGTGGTTTATTTACTAAAAAGTAAATGTTAGTAAAAGGTAAACCTGTTTTACTTTGAATACCAAATCATGTGCTGGCAAAAATATTATTTATTAATTTCCTTTGCACATAACTATTTACCAGTGTTTATTATGCAAAGTGAATGTACACTTTGCTAAGTGAACAGCCTCTTCTCCTTTAGTAAGTTAACTCCATTGTCTAATATGTTGGCACTATGTAAAGGAGAAAACGAAATAAAAAATAATGAACAACATTTTTTTTCCTTCTGTATGAGGAAGGAAGCAATATTGCTTTTAAAGTGCTCATAAACCTCTGAAACGAAAAATGAATAGAGCATAATCCTCTATAGTGTGTACTAGCCTCAATCCAAAGCACCTTGCGCAATCATTATTTAAGACACCACAGAATCTGAGGAGATGGCCTTCCACCTCCTCCCCTCCCCAGCAGCACACAGAAGGTGGTTGACAGTCTCATCTGTACATGATCCCCTATGAGACTGTGTGTGGGGGAAGTGGTGTCCTTTTCTCTCCACTCATGTCCCAGACTTCATTTGGTTTTCCTCCCTGCTGTGTGTGACATCAGATCCTCCCTCTCTGCTAGAGCTGAGAAATAGCATTTGATCTGTGTGTTTAAGAAGGCTGTACAGAAGAGAGGGCTGCAGATAAACAGGTACAACTTATTTAGGAAAATTAGTTTCATCTCTATGTATCACCTGAGGGTAGTCACATACGTAAGTGTGTACAACCACTTTAACTATGATTGTACTGAGTAAGGATTGTACTGCTTGGGGTTAGTGAGGTTATCTGGATGTTGAAAAAAGAAATGCTAACTAATCCTGCTGTAGCATAGTCACAATCAATATGCCAAAAGGTACCTTACAACCTCTGAGGACGATGCTTGAGGCTGAATTTATATTGTTGTAGTGCAGAAATGTGTTTTATGGATGCTTGGTGCACAACAGTGCTATTCATTCTAAATGGCACCCCAGTGCACCTTTATGGTAAGCTGCACAAAGTATGTTGACATGTGACATATCGTATAAACTTACAAATTAGTACTTAAATGGTCAACAGGAGAGTGCGCCGTTCAAAATGAATAGGCTGCCATAATGCCCGAAAATGTGTTGCGTCAACTCCATGCAACGCATAGTGAATAGGCCCCCAAAAGTTCATATTTTCCTCCTCCTTCAATTCATTCAGCCCAAAGCAATGCGCAATATGAGCATTCTAGAATTTGTGCTTTCCAAGGTATTCCCAGGTTATATCAATTTTTTAAAATATTTTTATCTTTCAAGTAGCAGAGCTGTAATTCATTATGACAGTACATTTTGTTGTTTTCTACAGATTAGATGCTGGCACATTTGGCACAATGGGAGTTGGCTTGGGATTTGCCATAGCGGCTGCCATGGTGGTAAAGGATGAGAGTCCGGAGAAGAGAGTGGTCTGTGTGGAAGGGGACAGTGCCTTTGGTTTCTCTGGCATGGAAGTTGAAACAATCTGCCGGTAGGAATCTTCTAGAAAGAATATCTTAATCATGTATTGCTGTTGCATAAAAAAATAAGCGCAGCCTTATCATAGGAATAAAAATCTACTTTTTATGTTAAGTTTACTTCTCCATATCTAAATGAAAGACACTATTGAGTAATTTTTGTAGTCCACAATTTCTATGGTAGAACTGTGGCCAGATTATGGACATTCAAATATTTACATATTCTTAACCAGCAGTAAATGAGCTTTAAAGCTGAAGTCTAGTTAAAAAAAAAAAAATTGCGGGGGTACAGCACCAACATTCTGTGAATGGAGGAGTGGATGGATGACAAGAAACCCCTTACTTCATTCACAAAATGCTTTCCATTCTGAGAAATAATGCAG